CTTTACTTCACTCTATTCATAGAGAATGATTCCCAAAGTTCCTGATTAGAATCTAAAAATAATTCCTGATCAGAATTCATATTGAAAAAAAAGATATTATGGTAATGAGTGAGTCATTAGTAAAATTTTAAGTGATTTTAGGATAAATTTATTATTCCTGTTCAATCAACCAGAATTTGATGATATATAACAGAATTGTTGGGGATCTTCCTGTACGAGTTTCCCTGTAAATACTGCACGAATTTATAGAAGGTAGAGAAAATAGAGCGAGTAGTTTGATAATATTTAAAAATAATTTTTATAATTAGTGCTTGGGAATATAGTGAAAACTTACAATTAACATTCTTGTTCTTTTGATAAATTTCACCTATTACATTCCAATGGTACTACTTAACCATCTAATATTAGGGCCAGTATTTGTCTGAAGGTAATTTAATTGCAGATAATGACAAAGCAACAAAAATTTAGTCGTGCGTAAATTTGCAAATGTATATGTTAAATCATGCATTTTAGACTTTGATTGCAAAAATTTAAAAATTTCTCGAGGTCCGCAAAGTTTGCAAGTCAATTTCAGACATTGACTTGTAGCATCTAGTACTATTCTGAAAGTATAGAACATCAAAAATATATAATTTAACATTATTACTGTATTTTATACAGTGCACTGTTTATTATAGAAAAATGATTCTAATAATTTTGGCTAAAAATTTGGAATCAACAATTATATTTATTAACTATCTAATAATCAAAAACATAATAGTAAAAACAAATACTTCAGCTGCGAAAGTCTGAAATTTACATATTTTTTAGAAAACATACTAAATAGATAATAATAAAAAAATTAAAAATAAAAGATTAATAACATTTTAAATATAATTTAAAAGATAATAATAAACCGATTTACTTACTGGAAATAATTTCCATTTGACAATTTGACAATAATTATCCCAATACTTTCCATACTTTCCTCGACATCGTGCATCATCCCGATAAATGCGATGAATTAAAAGTATAAACATATAAATAATATAAAAATAAGGTAACAAATGATTAAACCCACAAGTTAAGCACATAGCTGATGAAATTAGTAAGTCACCAACATAGTTGAAATGACGTGATATACCTATAATCAAAGAGAAATATTTATAAGATATTAATTTAAGCAAATAAAAAAATAATAATAATAAAATTTAATATTAAATACCCCAAAAACCGCTGGTTAACAGAATACTAGTATGTTCTTTTCCATCACTTGTAATAAAATGTGTTTTAACGAATTGTGCAGGTTTACCCCATACAAGACAATTACCATTCTTTCGACGAACTAAATCTTTCTGATGATTAACGGCTCGAAAAATATAATATCCAGATAATCCAATCGAGAGCACAAGTAGGAAATAAGGAATAGAAAGATCAATAGGGTTGCGAGCTAAGTAATGAGATTGGACAGTATACTTTATACAAAAAAAAAATAAAAATAAAAATTAATTCATTAATTAATGAGCAATTAATAAATAATAAGTGTAAGATTTACCATCCAAGGAAGCCAAACAGTATCTCCCCACGCCAAATAAAATCCAAAATGATCATGTGCAATGTCTGAAAATATTAATATTAAATTAATTATTTGAATAAAAAACATATAAAGCTAATAAAAATTTTAATTACCAATCGTTCTTAAATACCAATCTTCATTGTAAAAGAAATCAAGTACATAAACAGCATGTAAAAAGTTTAACAAAATCATGGAATTTGTTACATATCCTTCAATAAAATAGAAACTTTAAATAAGTATCCACTATATAATAAACAGATAAAATCCAATTTATTACAAAATAAATATATTTACCAATTTTATTATATTGAGCAGCAGCGAATGATAAATTAATTAAAGTCCAAGCAATAATTCCAGGTCTTCCATTATGAAATAATTTAAAATCCCAATATTCCCCAAAGCGAGGATTCATTTCAATACCCATCAATAAATCATAAATAAAACTTCCAGAAAATTTCCGATCTTCTGGATGAGATGGCATAATATATGCTTTTGCATATGAGAAGAAAGTAAGAGAATATCCATATATACATGCTGCAATGAGAAGAGAACCCCAATGATCATGAATTATAGATGCATCCCACCAATTGTAATAGAATGCACCTGCAATAAAAAGAATATGAGTAAGAAACCAAGCCAATAGTCCATTTACCTAAAAGGATATCAAATAAAATTATTAATATCATTTTGTATGAAAAAAAAAATTTTTTTCGAAAAATATTTTTAAGATATACTTTATAAGGTAGAATATGTCCTGCAGGTGTCCTCTGACCATATCCTATTTTTGCTGGTAATACAGCATAAAGAATTGCTTGAAAACTTAACCATGCTGCATATATTTTCAATCCTTCCCAAGTAAATTGTGGAAGTTTTTGTAATACTACAGAATCAAAAGTTTCTTTGGAAAAGTTGTTTATTTGGAGAAGATAGATAGGTTCATATAGTGAACATTGATAATGAGTGCAAGACACCCAAAAAACAATCACCAATAAGGGACAGCAA